TGACGAAGGTCTGGTATGGGGAAACCAGCCTTGACAGACGATGCTTGAGTTCGACGTCTGCCTTGTGCCTCTCTTCTGACTCTTTCAGTTCCTCAGCCTTGGCCTTCTCATATGCTGCGAGATCTTCTTCCTGCTGCTTCTCGTAGTCAGTCTTGAGATGCTTAATCTCTTCCTTGCGGTAGGCTCGCTCCAAATGATCGATACGCTTGCCGGCAATGCGGAGTTGCTCGCCGAGCTGGCTCTTCTCCCTCTCAAGAGCTTGAAGCTTCAAGAAGCGTATTCTCTGGGAATCGAGATCGTCAAGATCCTCAGGAAGCTCAATGTCGACCTTGGTAGTCGCCTTGAGCTCTTTGATTTGCTTCTCCATCTCCTCACGTTGGATGCGCTTCTGTTCAGCTTTGATGCGCTGTTCAGCACGTTGCTTCTGCTCTTCGGCCAGGCGTCGAGCTTCCTCATCCTTGATCTGTTGTTGGCGAATGAGCCTCTTGGTCTGCTCTTCATTCTCCTTGGCCTGTTGAGCCTTGAGCGCAGCCTCCTTCTTTTGGGAGATAATGTCGCGGCGGGTGAGTATCTCTTGATGCTCCTTCTCGGCGCCTTCCTTGGCTCGTGCAAGAGCGGCCTCCTTATTGCGCTGCCGTTCCGAGTTGAACGAAGGATCGACGTATTGGCAAGTGACAAAGAGTGATTTAGCGAGACGAGTGAGCTGAGATCGGACAATCTCAGCTGGGGTGCTCTGCAGACGCTGAACAGAGCGAGACTCAGTTTCGGCTGATCCGGCACCTGAACCGGGGTGCATAGCTTTAGCCGAGGAGAAGACGTCAGAATCGAAGGTGAGCACACCAGTAGCATGGTCGGTGCGGATGGCAAGGTCTCCCTTCTTGCATCCGTTCATGATAAACTTCTCAATGGTACCGGCGCTGACGTGGAACGGCTCAGGGAACTGGGCGAGGCCAAGCACGAACTTGATCTCAACAGAATCGTAGACTTGAGACAGTTGCTGGAACAGGCGGGTAAGGATGACCTGCTGGAGCGGGCCAACGTACTTTTCCATTCCCTCATCAGCACCAATCTGAGACAAGATTGGGGAGATCTTCTTGCAAATGGAGAGGGGATGGAAATCGACCTCGAGGATATTGTAAAGATCGCGAATTTCAGGGCGGGCACGCTTGAGCAGACCCTTGCTGAGAGCATCCTTGAAGAGAATGGCACGGGTGGGAGCCTGGGACATGCCGAGTAAGTTGGTGAGGCGTGAATTCTTGTTCTTCCTTGCCTCGTCAACGTCAACGAGAGCACCGCGGGAGCGGGAAGTGCTGATGACAGGGATGGCGAGAGCAGAGAGGAGTACAAAAGAAGCAGCCTTGGTCATGTCGGCTTCCGTGACAGCAGGGTTATCCTTCTTGGGGCTCTGGCCAGATGCAACGGCTGCAGCGGACTGGCGAAGGAGGTTGTAGTATCGACTGTAGGCGGCAGCGTGGAAGAGGTAGTTCTCGCTGACCAAGAAGATGCGAGTAAGCTTCTCGAAGTAGTTGGCCATCATGATGTTCTTGGCTGGGCGCTTGCTCAAGCTGAGCAGTGTGTGGATGTCCTCGACGCTGCGGAAGGCCTCCTGCCACAGCTCAAGCTCAACGGCCACGTTCAGCTGCTGGAAGCGGGTGTCTAGATGGCGCTGTAGGGTGTCTGGATCAGACAGGTTGATAGCGTGCATCTGAGAGGAGAACTTGGCGGCATTCTGCAAATGGTTGCGGAGCAGCTCACAGAGACGACGGAACTCGGTCTTGCGGGCGTACTTGGAGCAGAACTGGAAGGCCTGGTGGGCGGTCGACTGGTACATGAGCTCGAGGCGGGCGTTGTTCTTGAAGATGTCCAGGACGGTTCGGTAGGTCTCCCACAGGAACTTGAGCCATGGTGTTACAATGGCACGGTCGGTGCGGTCGCGCGATTGCTCGCCAGAGACGGTGGAGAGGAGGATCGACTCGGGCGTCTCGGTGGCCTCTAGATCGTCGACGTTCTTGTCGTCAGAGGGCTCGAGCGAGGACTGAACCTCGTCTGCCTTGGCCTGGGCCTCGGTGACCTTTTGCTCGGCGAGTTCGATGAAGCGCTTGAAGACAGTCTATGGCGGGTTAGTGCCAGCCGACGACAACGCCTTGGGCGGGTGTCCTACCTCGATGGTGCCAACGTTGGTGTTCTGGGCGGTGTTCTTGTACTGGTAGAGACCGTCCTTGGCCAGCTTGCCCTTGCGTAGGTCGACACAGAGCTCGACAAAGAGGATCATGACAGGCTCGAGCGAGGCGATGGGGCTGTTGCGGGTGCGCTTCGAGGTGACATGTTCGTGGAGTAGCTGGAGGGCAGCCTGCTGCTGCTCGACTCCGATGAGTTCTTGGGCACGTTTCCTGGAGCGTGTCAGTGGTGGTGCGGCCTAGAGGGCTTGTTCGAGGCGGGGCGCACAGTGTGTTCTCCGGCTTGGAGTGCGGTGGAGGCGCCATGCTGGGCAAGTTGAGGTCGCGGATCCAACTGCACGAGTCGGATGGGCTTTGTAGCAGGCAGGCGACGCAGCGGAGGGCTTGGGGTTGAGATATGGGTGGGCGGGTCTCACACGGCGACGGAGTCAGGTCTGCAAAATGGTTGTGGTAGGCCTTAGTAAGCGAGCGGGCGAGGTATTCCCAGGCGCCGGCAGGTTCGCGCCCGACTCCCCGCAGATGCACGCGGCTGCCAGACGTCGGAGGCGCGCTGGGGCGTCTGAGTGAATGACGGCTACGGTGCGGTCGCAGGCAGTCACTCTGTCGCATGCAACGCGCACCTCGAGTCACGGGATTCCTCTTGGGTCGACGACACGATGGCGAGAGATTGGCTGTGGCGGCGGGCGAGGACAAAGCGCTCGTTAAACCCAATATGGCGCTATACCGCAAGCGTTGGGGCCCGACGAACAGACCCATCAAGGGGAGGGCCCTCATCTTCCAACCACCTCTCCTGGTTCCCGTGCTTCACCTGTCGCCCATCTCAGCAACTCGTCGTCAACGCCCTCGCAGCAGCCTTGCTCTCGCGCTGATACTCGGCGGCAGGCTCACCCGGCTGGCCGTCCTTCGCTCCTTACTCTCCCTTCACCAGCTCACCCTGTCCGCGCCGCACGCCCGACACGCCCAAGTCACGTCGCACCACGACGCACCCCCCATAATACCATCAACCCCAACGCCCCTCGCACCCCCATAATACTCACACGCGCCCCATGCCCGTCATGATGGCTCAAGCACCCTACGAGATACGGACGGGCGGCGACGGCAAGAGCAAGAAGCAGAGCATGGCCGAGCTCAAGCTGCGACGTCTGACCGAACTCAACCAGCGCCTGCGCGAGGACCTCGAGCGCCGCAGGATACCCGTATCGGAAGCCGCGTTAGAGTACGTTTAGGACCAAGTCGCCGTGCCCCGACGAACAAGACGGCTAACAGGCACCCGCAGTCTCATTGCATTCACGGATAAAGAACCCAAAGATTGGATGGTACCGTCACGATGGGGAACGGTCAGTACTCGCGCCCAAGCTGTTCGGCTCACTCGACTAACGCACGCCCAGATTGACAAGCGCGACGACCCCTACGCGCCACAACAGAGCAACGGCTGCTGCATCGTAATGTAAACGACGAAGAAGATGCAGGTGGTCATGTCCTTTACCGGCGTTCTGCGGGGCCCTTTTACGGCAGAGCCTGTTTTCTTTTACCCTTTAGGAGGAAGTTGATTAATACCCAAGGACCCGGAGTGGCCCAGTCTCGCGCAGTCGTCCTGGGAGCGAGGCCACCAGACGGGCCATGTACTTTTCAGCAATGTGTAAATTACTCGGATGCGGAGCTCGCTGCAGTTGATGTTTGCAGCGCAGCGGGGATTTCTGCATTTTCTTTTGGTCGGTCACGGCGGCTTTTTAGGTTCTACAATCACGAGACAAAAGCACTCTCATAATTCACTGTCGTCGTCTTTGACATTCCCACATGTGACCAGTGCTTGTCATAGCCAGCCTCGACATGTCGCCGTAGAAACGAGGCCATCTGGACAGGCGGGAACTTGCTGGAAGGGGTAGGTGGCTACATGCTAGGGCAAACGAGATTAACAAGGCGCATCGACATGGCGCGCTCCACCGGCAAACAACCGTAGTCAGTCGCGCTACAGCCCAATCAGCCTGCCGTATAACAAACATGGCTTCGCCCAACCAGACGCCTTCACGTGCAGCTGCAGGACGAGGCAGCCCGAGTCTGCCGTTCGCTCGACCAGCTGGCTGGCGCAGCCATGTCCAATGTACCATGCACTGGCATGGGACGCAAGTCAACAAGGAACGAATGCAAAGGGCAGCTGTCCTCGCCTACGCCTCCCCCGGTGGAGTGCGGGACCGGCACTATTGGCCGACTAGTCTTGTATGCAATCCATCGCTGCAGCTTCGCAGACCCTGAAGCGCGGCCCAGCAGTCGAATCAAGTGAATGACGAGGGCATTGCGCAGTAGCTGTTCTCTTGTCTATGTATGTGTGTGGTGTGCATCCCACGCGCGCGAGTCAAGTCATCTGTGAGCCGCTGGACAACACCATGCACCCAACTCGACGACCGGGCCAAGGCTGAATGTCATGTGGGCTAGTTGCTGGGTGCTGGCACGGCACCTGATAATAGGCTGAGGACGCGAGGCCAGGTTTTGCAAGCCGCAGTGGGCTATAGGCCGCGCTGCATTCGACGTGCGCGGGCGAACTGCCCCCCCAGCCCAGTCTTATCAAATCACCGTGGGGGCCTACCACCCGGCCTCTTCTCGTGCAGTGCCTCGTCCTGACCCCGACGACACTCTCTTCAGTATCCGCTGGAGAGAGCGACGCCCGAGTCGCAGCCCGCTGCACCCTCGCCAGACGCGAACTTGAGCCGACGCACATGCGAAGCAGACGCAGCAACCCGGTCCCAATCCCGCGCAGCCCCACCCGCCCATCTTCGCAACGCCAATTTTCTCTCTCCCCTCCGCCCAGGGTCCCGCGCCGACGACATGAACAGCTCGACTGCGCAGTCGTGGAGTGCTGCCGAGCACTTCCAAATGGACCCGCCCGCTGAAGACTTTGCCGGCGCTGAATTCATCGACTTCGACAATCTTGACCTGCACTTCAGCATCGATGGGTACAATCACGAAGGACCCGCCTCTAATGGGAACCAACTCGCCGATCTGACCGAGTCGCTCAATGTCCACCATCTCCAGGGCCAGTTTCCCCCGCAACTTCCCCAGGACCACCATCATGGCCCCAACGCCAGACAGCACGCCCAGAATCTGCCTGGCCATGGCTTGTCCCAGTCAGCCAACACTTTCTTCGACTATGGCATGGCCCAGTACAGCCAGGCTGGCACCCCGTCTTTCACCCAGGCCCAGGACCAGATTTACCGCCCACACCAGGGTGTTCCGCCCACGCCAAATAGCATAGAAATGCATGGCGACCCCCATCGCTATCTCCAACAATCAGATCACCACCAGTCGCTGTTCGACCAGAGATACCATATGCGCAAGGACGATGCGGTATGTTGGACTCGGACACTACCACAGAATCCCACTGACCCGTATAGACTTTCACCCCACTAGTTTCGCCTGCCGTGACGCCCCACGATGCGCGCTTCCAGATTCCCGACTTCACAATGCCCGGAGCCTACTTCAGCCCTCTTACATCCCCTGCCTTGAATGCCCAGAGCCAACAGCATGTGCACCACCAGTCGCAGCACACAACATCCGGGAGCTCGACAGGCCACTCGCCCATCGATGTGGATATGGACATGCTAGGGGAACCTGCCCTGGTGCCACAGGAACAAGGACGCAGGAGTCTACGGAGTACCAACAAAAGGAATGCGCCGCGCACAAACGGCAACGGCCGTGTACGACAGTCCCCTATCGTTAAACCTAACAGGCGGAAAGCAACTGTGTCCTCTCTCATTCCACCCAAGGAGGTGACCGAACTCATGCAGGATGCGCGACTGACACGCCCGTCTGCCAACGGTCTGGATGTGCCAAGGACTCGTGAAAGCTCAGAAACCGATTCTATATCTCCTGAGCCTATGCTGTCGGAGATGCGACCGCCGCCGAAGCCTACTTCTTCAACAGCTTCCCCTGCCATGATGGCCCAGCGCAGCAGCCAGAACGGCACTCCGGCCACTCCTGCATCTCTCATGCGGATACAACCTTCGCCCGATGTCAGTGGCTCCCAAGAAGCACCACCAATGCTGGAGGATCTCACCCTACCAGAGGCATCACTAGACAGACCAGGGCTATCAAGAATCGATACAGCTATCCGGAATGGTGATGGTGACGCCTCTCGTATGTCTGCGCGGAAGACACCCAAGTTGAATCCTCTGAGCACGCCAGGCGCCTCCATGTCGGCCAGACCTAGTCCGATGCTGGACGCCATGTCTACCCCAACGAGTCCAGCCTTCTCTATAACTAATGGCAAGAAGGACCCAAAACTGGCGCGCAACCCCAAGAAGAGGAACAGCGTTAGCTCGAGTCTTGTCAGCCCTGCATTGAGGCCCAAGATCTCACCAAGCATAAAGCCTTTACTACCCGACGGCGGAAGTGGTAAGTACCCCTCAGTATCTGATTTGCTGTCTAATCTAATTTGCAACAGGGGTAACTGACAACACCCACGCCCTTCTCCTAGCATCCAAGTCAAACTACCAGAACATACTTGATGGCACCACCGTCCCCGGAGTCGTCTACCCCACATCACTTTCCACTAACCTCACTTCAAAACGCACATCTCACAAGATCGCCGAGCAAGGCCGCCGAAATCGCATAAATATGGCCCTCCAAGAAATGCAGGCTCTTCTCCCTTCACCGCAGCTTGGTGCTATTCCAGACGCCAAAAGCCCCGATACAAACGCCCAAAACTCCAACAACTCCAAAGCGGCAAAAGTTGAAAGCGCCATCGAATACATCAAGCAGCTGAAACAGGAGGTATCAGAGCGGGACGACTTGATCAGCCGAAAGGACCAAGAGATGGATGCACTGAAAAAAGAGCTCGCTGCGCTGAAGGGGAAAGGATCAGAGGTTTTGACTCCCGGGGCAGCAGCCCAGCTCAAGGCTGAGCCCTCTTCCAGCCCCAACACTGAGAACGAGACTTGACGAGGCACGGTGATGATACGAGTTATCCATCTACCTGATATTGCTCGGCTGAGCATTTGGTAACATCTGCACGCTACGTACGCATCCTGCTTTCTGCACTGCATCAGAAACGACGTAGTCGCCACATGGCAACGTCAGTTCGACGTTTCCATACTGTCGTGACCGTGTTCAGCAACACTCGAGACGGGGCCCATGTTCCACCTTACCGTACATGCTACATTAATTTGGTGGTTATCGGATTCGCGTTGAACTCAAGGGAAAACGTCTAGTCTGGACAAGACGACGTTTGTGACTTGTTCACATGTTAATACCCAAGATCCATACCTTGTGTGTGTTACAATGGCATGCAAATGTTTGTCTGGAAGCAGACAGGATTGTTAGCATACCAATTCATGTGAAAGCATCATGTACTGGTACAACCAGATGTATCAAATATTTGAACCCAATCAATATGTGTGGTGCATCTTAGAAAAACAAAAAACATCAATGCTTCAAGTCTTTCCAACCTCAACGCCCTACTGTATGGCTGCCACAGCAATGCGAATGGCCAAAAAAAAAATACCCTATATAGTCCCTTAACGCTATATGCAGATGAAAACCGTCCCGCAAAAAACTCCGGTGTAATGCAATGTCATGAGCAGATCATAGCAGTAACCCGGGAAAACGCCTCGCTTCATGCTCTAGAACTGAAAGGTGAAGGTAGTGTGAAGTCCAACAACATAAGAGACAAAAAGCGAACGTGAGAAAACGACATGAACGAAACGAAGGTGTTCTATCCCACGAGAGAACTTGAACATAGAATAAAAGTGGCATGATACTTGTGTACTTACACCTTCCGCGCACCAAAGAGACTTAAGTTGATTGCAGTCTCATTTCCATTCGGGTTACCAGAAGATTCGGCTAGAATTTCCCACCTAGGCTGTACAAAAGGATAGTGCCGTATCTCCCGGTCTTGCCTCATTTGAAGCTTGCCCGGCGCCTGCGCAATCATCTGGCTCTGGCTACTAGATTGGCCTTGACCCGCTGCAGGAGTAGGACGCTGCGAGTAGACGGGCGATGGTTGCATGGCGCGCTGTTGCATTTGCTGCATCTGTTGCATTTGCGACATTTGCTGCAGTGGAGAGGGTGAGGCCTGGCCTGACGGGGTTCTTTGGAGTTGTGCGGGCAGCATCTTGTTCTGCGGGTGCTGGTGGTACTGCTGCTGCGCACGTATCTGTTGAGCCTGTTGAGCCGCTTGCATTTGCTGTTGTCTTTGTTGTTGCTGTTGGAAATAGCGTTGTTGCGGTGTTGCAGAGCCACTCGCAGGTACCTGCGGGCTCTGGTACGGTGATGGCTGATTCTGAAGGGGCGTTGGTGTCGGTGGTTGCGACGATGCCTGGACCAGAGGGGTGTTGACGGGCTTGGCCAGAACAAGCCAGCCGTCGACGGGAGCCGTTACTCCCAGGATGAAGACACAACGCGCATCGCTTGCAAGCCTTGCTCCTTCCAACCGAGTAACGTGGAACCGAACGTCATCCGTTATGTAATCGGCCAAGAACACAGTGACATCAAAGACATGTTCGGTAATCGTAGGATATAGTTCCAAAGACGGATGCATGAGCAAGGCAGCCATGGCACTCATCAAAGCGGTCTGATGTGGATGTGTAGCCTCGGCCAACATGTCCGGTGCATGAGATACTACCAGACGAAGTAGGGCGTTCAACCAAACATAAATCTCTAGAACAGAGAGTCTGTTGTCTTCAAGAGCTTGACTTATGCCTTTGAACCTCTCGACCAAGGCTTGGAGAAGCGCAATCTGTTCCGTAGATGTCGCGCGCTTGTTGGAAGTCAGATCGATGACAGTGAGATATTTTTGTACTACTGCGGGCGAGACCTTCTCTGGTTCCTCTACTTTGACGGTGGATGTCATACACAAAAAGCTAGAGGCATTCAAGATCTCGCGTTCAGCGTGCTGTCGTATTTGGTCGGTGAGAGCAGCGTCCAAGCTCGCAAGTAGCCCTAGTCCTGAAGGTTGATCCTCTTCCACTGCTGTCTTGATGGCACTCAAGAGGGAAGCAGAAAGTACCTCACCGGAGCCTCCCAGCGCGGTTGCACTAGATGAGAACAGCTGCTCGATAGTCGCTTGGCAGATTGGTAAAGACAACTCGCTAGTAAGTGCAAAAACTGCAAGTACCTGCTGTTCGGGGCTCTTGTCGGGCAACCGTAAGTGACCTTTGGGGTCAAGTAGGCTGTCCAACGACGGCTTGAGCAAATGACTCGAGGCATCCCTGTTCAACTTTGACAAGCATCCTGGATCGCCGGCAATGCGATGTTTCAGAACATGCAGCATGGGCTTACTGCGTAGGAACTCTGAGACTTGTCCCTGAGCCTTCTGAGAAGTAATGGTTGAAGCAAGCCCAATCACCTCACTAACACATTGCGTAAAGCACCCTTCGGTTTCCAAGCAGAGCTTTCGTTGCTCCAAGCGGTATCGATATGCATCTTGCGGCGAACAAGACTGAACTAGAGCGTCAGACGGCAGAGTGATCATCATGCCTTTGAGAGCAGTTTGGAGGCCACCTTCAGAAGGATTGGTCTTGAATTTTGCGATGCAAGTTCTGAGTGAATCAAGGAAGGACGCCAAAGGAATACAGCCTGAACCAACAAGTGTAGGCAAGGCTACCCGTAGGGTATCAGTCCTTTGAGCCATCAAGCTCAGAAGCAGCCATTCATTCACGACCATGTCGAAGGTCGGCTCATCGAAGCAGCGCAGCCGATGGAACCATGCATGGTGATTGTTCAAGTGGAAAGAGCCCTTGGCTAGATGTTCCTCTAGGTTGCTGACGATCTTCCTCAGTACTCGTCCCATCATCTGTTGATCCATGCTGGTACCACTCGAAAGTATGCGTTCAATCTCGTCATTGGAAGACGATCCTGTTTGCATGACCTCACCCATGTTGTCGGAGGCTGGTGAACAGGCTACAAGAGAGTTCCTTTGGTTCAGTTGGCTCAAATCATAGTTGAGGAGCTGGGGGAGTTGGCCATCAGCTTGTGCTGTACGAGCTAGACTGGCAAGACTAAGCAGTAATTCGCGATCCGGGAGTCGGACAGTTCGTAGAGCGGCATATCTTGTGGCAATTCTAGCAAACAGTGGGTCAAAGGCACCTATTGCACGAAAGGTTCTGGCGTGGTAGTTGATCGTGTCCGCAGCAGAAGCAAGAACACTGGAGTCCAAGGATGTAGTTGCGACGCCGACAATGTCCGCAAGGATAGCAAGGTCTCCGAATCGCTCAAGGTACGATCTTACAGTGTGAAAGTCCCAGGGCGTTAGAAGAGAGACCGCGGCGGTTTCTTCGACTGAGGAGTCCTTCGTGGGTATGCTGTATAATGTAAGCGAAGTCATGGTTAATTTACGAGAATACTTACTGCGCGCTAACCTCGGCATACTGAGCGACGTGTTGACGCAACCAAATGCCCAGTTCGAGCTTGATCGTCGAACTGAGCTTGTCTAGCTCTTCGTCGTTGAGCTTATTTGTGGTACTGTAGATGCCAAACAAGGTAGGTAAGGTCTGAGATATCATGTGCTCAGCGTAGCCAAGAGCTCGTTGTTCCAATTCGGCGGAGTGTAAGGTTCCACGGAGGAGTGTGCTCCGCAATGTACGGATTTGGTCCGGTAGCCCACTGAGGGGTATCTCGGTGATCAAACGCAACGGCCAGGACTGCGGCTATCGAATAGTTAGAACCAACAGATGGAACTTGTGGGGCATGACTTACTGAAGACAGATCTGTATTGTGACCTGTAGATCCCGTAGCAATAAGCCACTGAAGGTAGCGCCCAGTAGCGAAAGTCTTTGAACGGACCAGTTCAGCAACGATTTTGAAGAGTATATTTGAATCGCCGGTAGCAACCCACGTCATGTCGCGGAGGTGTGAAACTATGCCGTCATATACGTCCGCGCCGAGGTGGTTCCATCGACGAAGTAATCGCGTCGCCAGATAGATCCTGTGTGCTCCTGCTCGGTAATAAGTACATGCCCACTGGAGGAGAACACCGATCAAGCGTGGAGCGTCGGCGATTATCTCCATGCAGTCACAGGACAAGTCCTCAATACGCACTGGCTTGCTGTAGTCTACCGAGTCCAGTACCCGATAGACGCGGCCAGCCGGTGTCTGTGAGGCCGAAGGAACTTTCTTCGGCGATCGCAGGAGCCTAGCGTTCCTCAGCTCGAGCCTCCGGATCGCTTGCATGACATGTGCATGATTCTTCCTTTCAGCGAGATTCCGCAAGAGGGGACAATATCTGGCCCACGCAGTCGGAAGCAGCAGGCAAGCAGGTCGTGTGGCGAGCAAGCGGACAATGGTGTTTTCAAGGTATTGCAAAACGGCGATATAAGGTCGCAGATCCTCAAGTCGATAGATTTTGTCGAGCTGGGTGAGCAATGACTCGGCGAGACGTTTGCCGCGGCGTCGACAGCAGGTTACAGCGGTCCAGTAGTGTGATATGGAAACGACCAGCAGCCAGATAAATAGGCGTTCCGAGGGACAGGTATCCAAGCCATTGACTATCCAGTCGAGAAAGTGGTCGTCGTCGAGCAGATGCTCTTTGTAGAGATGGGTCGCAAGCTGGAGGGCGTAGGTGATGCGGGGTTTCCAATCACCCTGGCCAATGGTACTGATGACGCCGTCTATGAATTGCTCGACCGAACTGGTCCAGCCTCTGCCCCATGTCACGGTACCGGCCTGGCCCTTTCTTTTATGCGCACGCAGCTCGTTGATACCTACGCATTTGGCCAGCCACAGGGCTCTCGGCAGAGGAATGTGCTTGTTCAGACATTGTTCGAGCAGCACTTTGCCAGTGAGGCCGTGCGGTATGGTGCGGCTGAGGCGGCGAAGGCCAATGGTTGGGTTGGCCAAGTCGTGCAGCCACTGCTCGCGGGTCGAGTCTCGCAGGGTCAATCGCGGCGGGGGCTTGAAGGTGTTTGGGGTTTGGAGGCGGCCCGTCTGCTGTCGCTTCTCCAGCA